TTTCAAAGGATAGTGTTGATTGAAGAGTAGTTGAGTACTTATATGCCTAGTCGTGTATGTTTTTCCCTGATAAAAATAAGAGACGAGAGCGTACAGAACGTATCTTTCTAGCTGGCTATGAATTTTTATTATAACAGTTGCTTTTATTATACTTGCATATATTTATTATCGGGTATAACTTTTTTGCAGGTCTGCCGGTCAGCAAATTTTTCTAATTACACATTGCTCTTATAATCTTGTAGGAGGACAGAAATTCCTGCAGGTCGGGTCTCCCAGATATGAATCTCGACCAGATTATTCATTTTCGACAGAAAAAATGTTGAACCCTCACTCAAAAATTTTACAATTTTCAAAAAATTGAAAATACATTTTGCAGGTCGGCGGAAATTCTTGCAGGTCGGATCTCCCAGACATGAATTTCGACCAGGTTGATCATTTTCGACAGAAAAAATGTTGAACCCTCACTCAAAAATTTTACAATTTTCAAAAAATTGGAAATACATTTTGCAGGTCGGCGGAAATTCTTGCAGGTCGGATCTCCCAGACATGAATTTCGACCAGGTTGATCATTTTCGTCAGAAAAATTTCCAACCCACTTAATAATTTCAAAACTTTTTAAGAATTGTGAAACTAATAAGTGGGGGATGGAAATTTTTTCTGTCGAAAATGAATGATTCAGTCGAGATCCATAACTGTCAGAACCCGTGCTACAAGAATTTCTGCCTACCTGCAAGGTTTATTATCATTTTTATGAGAAATGTGAAAGTTTTTCATACTTGAAGGGTGGGGGTTGAAATTTTTTTTGTCGAAAATGAACAACCTGATCGAGATTTATGTCTGGGAGATCCGACAAACGAGAATTTCCGCCGACCTGCAAAATGTATTTTAATTTTTTCGAGAGTTGTGAAACTTCTGGGTAGGGATTGGAAAACTTTTCCATCGAAAATCATTAACCTGGATCTGGCTGATCCGACCTGCAAGAATTTCTGCCAACCTGCAAGGTTTATTTTCATTTGTAAGTGGAATTTTTCCATACTCAAAGGGTGGGGGTTGAATTTTTTTGTCGAGGATGATTAATCTAGTCAAGACTGTTTGGCAGACCCGATCTGCAAGAATTTTCACTGACCTGCAAAATGTATTTCCAATTTTTTGAGAATTGTGAAATTTTTGGGTGATGGTTCGAAATTTTTTCTGTCGAAAATGAATAATCTGGTCGAGATTCATATCTGGGAGACTCCACCTGCAATAATTTCTGTCCTCCTACAAGTATACGAGAGCATTGTCTACTAAGAACAATTTTCTGATCAGCAGACCTGCAAAATTATTATCACAATCTCAATGTTCAGATTCCTCATCCAGATTCCTCTTCCTTGTGAAGAAGACTATCACAGTTTTGTTGGGGTTCACATGGAAACCTATCCTTTCAGTAATCCGAAATTCAATTTATTACAGAAACTCGTATTATGCCATATCGAGTTATTGGCCTGCTGAAATTCAGCACTCGGCTCATCTAGCGTGAATTGTTTATTTTTAGTGGAATTTGCACATGTGTCTCAATTTGGGCAACAGCGTTCTTATGGTATTTTTGGCCAGTTTTGATTCAATAAAATGATCTTTCGGGACAACTTCTCCATATATGTAAAGCAAATGATCCGGCAGTTGCTAAATCATCAACGATTGTGATGGAGCGGACACCCTTTCGTTGTTCACATTCCTGTTTTCATTAGCCAAATTGGTATGACGCTCCAAATGAATTTTGATAGGTAAATTGCTTGAAGTGGCCTTTAGCACTGATGTCCGATCCCCATTCCAATCGATATCACTAACTCCGAAAGTTCTAATTGGAAAACTCTGGGATGAAAGCCGGTGCGTTTATTTTGGTCCGCGTTCGGTTTATGGAGGACGAGAATTGAAAGGTGTGTTTTTGATTAAATTGCTCAGATAGGGCGGTAGCAAACGTATTTGCATCGGGAAAATCTATCGCGTGTTCCCTGGGGAATTCCTAGAGGATATGAAAATAACTGATAGCATATTGGATTGATTTTTATCGAGTGACTTCGGTGAAAGTATTTATGTTGAACACTACAATAGCCAAAATTTAGGTAAAACTAAAGATAGGCGTTGATTTTTTTTTCGACTGAAAGGGGCTGTATAATCCTAAAAATTTACTAAATATATTCTCCAATGCTATTCACAGAATATTCATGATACAACGATGAATCACTTTGGAAAAAATACTAGTGGTAGAATAGCGTAAGTTAAATACCGCCAAGATAAAGACCATGGCGTGAAAGCGACAGCGAGTGACGTAGACAAAAGAAACTGGTGATAATTTTTGAATGATATTGAAGTTTGAGTGTTTTCGTGTTGTACTTTTGAATAATTGAACTAGATAAATTTCAAAAACAGAAAATAGAAGAACACGAAACTTGCTGAAAAGGAGAAAGTACTAGATCAATTATATATGAAAATAACGGAAACACAGAAAATACAAGAAAAAAGAAGATAAGAATGAAGATAACGAAAAAGAAAAGATGACGAGGGTGAGCTGGAAAAATCAGAAAAGGAAAAAAAAACAGATACGTTGCTCAACCAATTAGAAAAACAACAAGATGAGTTTCTTGGTGAAAATATTGAGGACAAAGGGATATTCTAGAAAGAAAAAGTTCAACTAGAGCCCAACTAAGGAGCAAGTACTAAAATCACAGGAGATCTTTCAGGAATATAGGACAGAGGTTGAAAAACGAATGAAATTGTCGTGAGTCATGGCATAATTCGAGTTAGCAGCGGAGATCAAAGGGTTTTTTGCAACAGAAAGGAAGTTTCAGTATTACGAGATCAAGTATTAACGATACTGAAAAGCGACCAAAATAAATATCAAAAGGTAGTGGAAGCTCTAGAAATGTGAAACAAGTATACCAAAGCCGGGAACATATACTAACAACCACAAATATTTTACTAGGATACGAGACAGAAATTGAAAGACTGACAAAACAAACTATCGAAAAATTATACAGAACAAAAATCGTTGATATGCTGGAATCTGGAAACTTCATCCCTGAGCAAAACGACACTTCGGCATCAAAAGAACCCGACACGAGTTTGAGAGCGATACAGTGGATCAGTTGTTGCTGTGAAGCCAAGGTGTTGAGAAATGAGCTGAGTAGAAAAAAACAGAGAACGGAAGATAGTCCATGGATTTACTAGCTATCCGATAAAGGAGTAATCGAACAGAAAATCTATAGAAACAAATTGAAAAGAACTACGAAGCCAACCGTACTACTATACCTATAACTTTCCGCGACTCTCCCAATTAAAAATAAATTTAACGCAGGTATTCTAAATTTTTTCCGGATATCTGTGACTGAGAGTTACTATTGTATAGTGGAACACATGTCGCGATTTTATAAACTATTGAGTGGAAATTCCACGATTGAGCGTTATTGAAATGCACAAAAGAGTTTTCATTTCGCGTCGCTTACAAGAACTCGGCCTTTTGCAGACCAAAGGTTGGCGAATTTTGCGTCTTGATTTGGGTCTGCACCGGTACAAAATTCAACTGACCCAGGAACTGAAAATAAACGACCTTAGACAACGACGTGCGTTCGCTGAACAGGCTCTGAAGTAGTAGGCGACTGACCCTAATTTTCATCGAACAATCATCTTCAGCGATGAGGCCCAATTCTGGATGAATAGGTTCGTGAACAAACAAAAGTGATCGAATTTTAGACGATACCAATCCACATGAGATTCAAGAGCGTCCAATGCATTCCGAAAAAGTCACTGTTTGGTGTAGATTCTGGACTGGCAGCGTCATCTTGCCATATTTGTTTAAGAACGACGTTGGCCAGACCATCTCTGTCAAAGACAAGCACTTCAGATAGATGATTATCAACTTCTTCTGACTCCATATCACGTGGAGGTGAACTGGCCACCAAGATCGTGCGATTTGACCCCGTTAGATTTTTTTTGTGGGGTTTTCTGAAGTTGCAGGTGTAAACGAATGAGCCACAGCGGTCCTCAAGGCCAACATAACCCATGCTATCAGTCAAATTCAGTCTGATTTGAACTATGTTATATTCCACACATTATGGCATTAATAGGTCTTTCGAACGAATAAAATATTTCGATGATAGCTCACACACTTTGTTTTATTTGAATTTGAAGAAAGAAAGCGCTTAATGAAAGACTCTTAACTTATCAGAAACATGACAAAAATAGGAGTGTGAATAATATAGGGCAGTGGTGCAAGAACTAAATCTTGAGAAACTCCATGAGAATCTTAAATCAACGAAAGTGCGGTATCTTATTAATACGCTTTGGTTTTCATGACGACGTATTCATTTTTCAAATTCATATGCATTTTACCTGTTTGCCACACGTCAAGAAGTGAACCTTTGAATCAATTATCAACTGTTAGAATCCTCAAGTAGATTTTATAGAGAAGCATGGCTTTAAAACACGATTTTAGGCCATCTGAAGGTTTTCATATTATAAATGCAGAACGACACCAATAAGTAAAAATTAATATTATTTATCTTCACTATAATGTGTTAGAATGGTTTTAACGTTAACTAGATGTCTTTGCTTAAGAACAACAATACACAGAATTTTAAACTTAGAATCATATGATTTCTAACATGCAATGTCGAAACATCGCACAGCAACAGGAATGGATTGGGGTTGTAAACTGGCCTATTTTAAATTTGATCAACTACTTGAAACACATCGTGAATATATTTTTGAAAACCTTCATAAGCTTATTTGTTCAGAGATTACACGTGTGTCAATTAGCTATTGGAAAAACGCTAATTGGAATTTTCCACAACATGAACACCCACGAAAATATAAGAACGAAAGCGAAACTGACACTTGTGTGAACCAATTGGTGTGTGGTTCAATTCAAATGAAATTATATTATTTTGTTTGTGAAATCTCCTATGACGCTAATTATGAAAATTTCATTCCGAAGTAACAATACCATCAACAATTCAATTTACCTGTGGGATATATGAGTACAACGGGAGGCCTTTTGTTGTGATGATTCGCGTTCCCTGTCGAGGCCACTTTGTTGATGCCTTCCTGTTGCCCTGACATGATTGCTTCGCTTTCAGCAGAAAGGCGGATGTTATTCTGGAACAAATGAAATTTATCAGCAGGTTGCCTGATAACACAATATTGGACGAAGGAAAGTTGATGATTACGCTGTTTTTTACACACGTGATGTGGGAAATGGAGGAAGATATACAGAAATTTTTAATTATTCATACATTGTTACCTATAGGGGTTTTTCACGCCGTGTGGTCACCTGGATCTACACTGCAATAATAAGACCTATGTTAACGTACTGAACAATTGCAAGGGTACGAAAAGTTCTACAAGCAACAGCTATCCAAACATTTTATCAAATTCAGCGACTGGCTTGTTTAAACATAACAGGAGCCATGAGAACAATACCAACCGTGGCAATGGAATTATTTACTGGTCTGATCCCTCTGGATCCTTTTGCATGATAATCAGATGTTATATCAAATCGTGTTAACAAAATCGATGCCTCTCGTGGGGTATTGCCCATCAACTTTTAGACATAAGTATTTGAGGAACTACCTTTGCACGCTCTCAATTGATGTTTTTTTGTAGTCGTAAACTGGATTCCATAACACAGAGCCATACTCTAACTTAGATCTGGTATACGCAAAATATAGCAAATTTGATCGTCCCAAAGAGGTTGTTACCGACGAAAACATCAAAAATGTTCATAAAATAATTTTGACGACTGCAAAGTGAAGTTGATCGAGTAACTGGAGTTATCAAAGGAACGTGTTGGAGATATAGTGCATGAATATGCACGAAAGCTTTGTTCCACGTGGGTGTCGCGCGAGCTTACAATCGACCAAAAACAATAACGAATTGATGATTCTGTGCAGCGTTTAAAGCTGTTCCACCATGAAAATTCGAATTTATGAATCGATATATGACAATAGATGACAAATAGCTCCATCATTTAACACCAGAATTAAATCGATCGTCATCTGAGTGGACTGCACATGGTGAACCGACTTCAATGTATGCAAAGACCCAACAGTCACCTGGCAAGGTTATGGTATCAGCATTTCGGGATGCGCATGGTATAATATTCATCGACTCTCTTGAAAAGAGAAAAACCATTACCAGCGATTATTACATAGCGTAATTGGAGCGATTGAAGGACGAACTCTCGGAAAAACCAGACCATAGACCAGAGAAGTCCAGTGTTGCTCAACATGACATATAAAACCGGCCACAGAGTAAGTGGAGAATGCTTGAAGCTATCGAGACCGGTATAGTTCAAGTAAACGATAAGACATACACTTTCTCAAATGTTTTTGTCTGTAAAATTTCAATTAGTTGGTTTTTGGTAAAGTAATCTTCAAAATAAAAATTCATATCCATTAAAAAACTTTGTATTTCATCTTTCCTCGAATTTTTATTCGGTACTTTGATGAGCTGTCGCGAATGAGGAAGCGTTGTCAATAACTATTACACTATTCGCATCCAAATTCGGGATCAATGTATTTTCAAATCCTTCCTCGAAAATATTCGCTTCCATGTTCTTATGATAGTCAACATTGCAATATTGAAACCCATTCTTTACTTCCTCCGCAATGCTCAATGTTTGCAGGCAAGTTAGGCGTACACATTCTCGAACCATCAGTCCACCCTTTCGTAACTATATCGTGAGTGTCATACCAAGTTTCGTCCAAATAGAAAATTTGCAGTTGTTCTTGTCTGTATTCATTATTTGTTGTAAGAATTTGTTACGCAATTCCACTATTCTTCTGCTTTCCATAACTGCTTTAAGTTTGTTCGTTATTTCAAATGTAAATCCTAGTTTCTTTATCCAATTCTGAAGAGTTTTGTCACAGCAGCTCACGTTATGGCCGCAGGTATTCAATTTCTTCCTAATGATTTCAGTTGTAGGAATCTCATTGTTTTGTAACAATCTTATATTGTTTTTTTCAATGATTCAATGATTCATGGTTTTAGTAATCCCATATCACATCGCGTTTTGCGTTCATAGGTTTGTTTTTGACTATTTTACCTACAGTTGAGAAAGGAATTTTGGTCAAATTTGATGTGGGTTGTAATAGTTCGTTTCCCTCGAAACCAAACTTGAGATGGAGATTTTTATATACATTGAAACATACTTTCTGTGTTTCAATATTCAAATGCATCCGAATCTTATTCCATGGTATCCCTTTTTTGCATTGTTCACCAGCGCTATTCGAATCACTACACAGGAAAAAGTCTGCGTTGTTATCACACTCGTAATTACTATTAGTACTTGTCCAAGGACGCCACATTTTAAACAGATAACAAAAATTTTGAGTAATTATATCTGCACCAATATCGAATTTCAACACTCAAATCGCGATCAGTTCCTGAACTGAACATTGACAATACGACGGGTATAAACATCTTCGCACCATAACATGACTTCAAATTTAATTTTATGACTCTTCAGTCATAAAACTCGGTTAGTAAAAATTATCTAATACGAACCGCCAATTCTTCAGTCCACGTGGACTAGTTGGCAGCGGCATCATTTCTTTGTATTGGATTTTTTGGCTTTTGGGCTCGCCGAAAGCTTCAACTATTCACAATACAGATTAATTCGACTATAATTATAACTGTACCAATATCCAATGTCAACACTCAAATCGCGATCAGTCCCTGAACTGAACATTGACAACATGACGGCTCGCATTCTATTCGTTACCGTAACATGACATATTTAATTTTATGACTCTTCAGCCAGTCATAAAAGTCGGTTAGTAAAAAGCATCCAATACGAACCGCTAATTCTTCAGTCCACGTGGACTAGTTGGCAGCGGCTTTATTTCTTTGTATTAATTTTTGTGGCCTTCGAGGGCGCCGATACTTCAAGTATGCACAATACTGGTTACTTTGACTATACTAGGAATACATTCATTATGTAAAGTAATGATTTCTTTAGATACGTATTGAAACATAAGAATGACAATGAGAAGACTAGTCCTAATAATCTCCTGATGATTCTAACTTGCTAAGCAGAACACGCGTCGAGAGACCGCATTTTTGTTCTGTTGTTCATTAGATACATTTCACGCCAGAGGTTTCAGATTCTAGGTAAGTATCGACTCTGAAGGGATGTCTATCTTCAGCTGAAAAGGGATAAATTGAAAAAAATATGTGTAAATTGGGTGCAATTATTTTTACATATTAAGTGCAATATCCAATTTCAACACTCAAATCGCGATCAGTCCGTGAACTGAACATTGACAACATGACGGCTCGCATTTTATTCGTTACCGTAACATGACTTCATATTTAATTTTATGACTCTTCAGCCAGTCATAAAAGTCGGTTAGTAAAAAGCATCCAATACGAACCGCCAATTCTTCAGTCCACGTGGACTAGTTGGTAGCGGCTTTATTTCTTTGTATTATTTTTTGTGGCCTTCGAGGGCGCCGATACTTCGAGTATGCACAAGACTGGTTACTTTGACTATACTAGGAATACATTCATTATGTGACGTAATGATTTCTTTAGATACGTATTGAAACATAAGAATGGCAATAAGAAGACTAGTCCTAATATCTCCTGATTGTAACTTGCTAAGCAGCACACGCGTCGAGAGACCGCATTCTTGTTCTGTTGTTCATTAGATACATTTCACGCCAGAGGTTTCAGATTCTAGGTAAGTATCAACTCTGAAGGGATGCCTATCTTCAGCTGAAAAGGGATAAATTGAAAAAAATATGTGTAAATTGGGTGCAATTATTTTTACATATTAAGTGCAATTCAGAAAATAATAAATATAAGTTATACGCATTTCTTAGTTTGAAAATAGAAATAAAAATCCAAAAACTGAAAAGATACTAGCATAATATAACAGTACCATTAATTCAGAGGAAAATATTAACACGAACTCGTACGAGTATACATTGGAGTATTTTAAGAAGTTATGAAATTATTTATGACAAGAGTTTCAATTCGAATATTATTCTTGATATTGAAGAAATATAATATTCAAATGGCGTTCAAATTAATATTTATATTCAGTTAGAAATGAATCGCGAACTTCGACGGTTAGACTCACTCGGGTGTGTAATAAAATGCAGTGGCTCCAAAATTGAACTCTGGGATATAAAGTTACATTATAGTCAGTTGTCATAACACTAAATATCTAGCTGATTTGTTTGTGTGAAAGTATCACAATTAAGCGTATCCATAATACATGACAACTATCCATTTACTCACATTCCAAAAATTTCTGCTGAAACCATTTATTACAGTAATGATAAAATACTTCTAGCCATAATGCAAATTCCCTTCTCCATTGTTCATCCGAGTCTAGCGAATCCTCTATAAATTTCCCGTTTCGACAGATTACCCCTTTCGCCCCATTGAAAATTAGTCGAGAACATCCCTCATTCGATTTTCATCCTGGTGTCATTCCCTGCAACTTGGAAGAAGTCATAGAAATTCGAACTGAGACGACATTTTGGTATTCAACGCAGCTCGCGAATGCCGGACCTGGTTCGAATGCCTAATATCGACGGGGTTGTAAAATCATCCCCGAAACTCAATAAACGTTATCGGGGTTGATGTACACGACACAAAGCTGATGATGAATACTGATACGCTACAGTATTGGGTTCTACATCGAAGAATGGATGGGGAGGATTAAAATGGATCGACGTTTCGTTTTTATAGGGTAATAATGGTGGAGACATGGCCGCTTGTATATATGTTTATGCGATTGCGATAAACGGATGTTCAGGGGTTGTAAAAATAATGGGGAGGGTGTGAGTTATATTGAAAGAAATATTAATTAAATTTTCTCTCGATGTCTTCTGGAAATGTTCCAGTGAATCTATAATTTTTGAAATCCAATAATCCAATACCTCTGTATATCCCCACTGGCAGATCCAGGATTATCTTTGGGGGAGGGGGAGATGCTCAAAGTAATCAATATTTTCAGAAATTCTAATGTTTGAGAATGGTATCACCAAAAAGTTATAGCAATTCGATTGAACATATATATTCGAAGAAAAAATTTATAAATAATTTTTTCATGTGAATTGAAGGGGTTATATTTTTAGAAGTGA